CCATCTTCATCTTCATTAATATTATGGAGTACATTTACATACCTTGTGGCAAGACGAACATCATCGAGTTCGTTTCCCAATGCAAATGTTGTATGGGTTACCCTTTCGTTGATTTGAAAGAATTGTTCTTCATCCACATGATCATTGTTTTCAACATCGTTAATCATGTCAGACACTTCATATATGTCACGAGCTTTTGTCTTGACAACCATCCACCAATCTTTCAAATCTTTTGTCATCGAAGGATATGAAATATAATAGACTTGTTCTTTCTGTGATGCTAGAACGTACGAGTCGTCGGATCCAAATTTAGACTTATATTTGATTTCTACCAAATTGAGTTTCGGATCAGCGAGGGAACTGTTTTTTTAGACTTTCCCTCGATCAGCGAGGGAATTTTTTTTTTGGCCAATTCACTCGCTGATCCCTAGGAACTGGTTTTAGGCCTTTCCCTGATCAGCGAGGGATTTTTTTCGTCGTTGATACGTTATTTTCTAGTAGTGAACCCCAACCCCTAATCGTTCTCACGTGACTTTGTCGACAACAGTGAACCCCTCATGTGACATTGCCATCCGTTCTCCTAACCTTTTAACTTATATATGTTTTTACTTTTTGACCACTAAAATATACGACATGTTTTATGTTTAACGACAATAAGTCAGACGCATTTTAGTCCATAAACTTGAAAATTGAGTAACCCTTTTTGACGTTTTTATTTTATTTTTTTGATTTTGTAAGACTTTTGACAAAATCCGATATATAATTTCTTTATATATTAAAACAATTATTATTTTATTATAAATAAATACGTAAATAAATTAAAGAAAGAAGAATAGTCGCATCAAAAGAGGAAGAAGATCCAGGAAAACAAGGAGAATCCATGGGAGTGTTGGATATATATACACCCATCAACTTCAAACCCAAATCCAAGATTTGCCAACAAATCACATGCCTTTCTCTTTTTATTATTACAAAAATAAAATGATACTGATTCGGTCGAAATTGTAAAAATCAGTTAACTCGAAGCAGTTTATCTGTTTAGTGATAGATCTTTAAATTATTGAGACAGATACTTTGAAACCAATAAGTTTAACCATCATGTGGTGAGAAATTGGTCATTTTAATTGAATAAGAACCGAATAATTTATTAAAACCGTAAGATTGAGATGACTTAACGACTAAGATTAAACTGTTACAATCATTTTCTTTAAATAAAAAGCTATTCCTTCATCCCGCGACTATTTTTCCTAATAAAAAATCGACAAAATTGAAACGGAACAAATTAATTAAAAAAACAAACAATTTAATTCTCTTTAATATATAGTTTTATACGTTTTTTTGGTAATTCTTCAGTTATTTTTTGGGCAGATTAAATGCATCCCTATATATACTGTTAAATGTATATGTATCTGTATTTTTTTCCTTACATATATTAATATCAAGACTTACTTTTTACATTTCTAACAGATTATTTAATATTATTCTGATATAAAAATAGATTTGCGTACAACATTATCAAAATTTTGTTTTGTTTTTTGTCCTAGTGTTGTACGGATGAAAGGAGTGGAGCACACCAGGTAACCAAATCATTTCACTCCATTTCCACACATTTCTCTTTTTTTATTTTTATATTAAATACATATTTTTAATTATTTTAACAAAACCAAAAACACACTTCTAGGGGAATGCTAGTGAAGTTAAAATATTGTAAGGCATTATTAACTTGAATCATCGAATAATTATTAGAAGGGTATTCGTGTAATGCAGCGAGATAAATTTTTATTTTAGTGTTTAGTTTTAATTCTTTTGACTCTATCGATATAATACGATTTTATGTGGTTTTGAGAAAGTGATAATGTTTTATTTTTGAATGAAATAAAAATTTGAAAAAAATAAATCGATATTAGTATCAAATTAACTATTTAATAGTTCTCGTTTTTTTGGTGCAACTTTTTTAATTCAAAATTTTATTATAATTTAATTTAGATTTAATAACAAAGTAATTTATTTTTAATTTAATAATATTTTTTTATAAAGATAAT